TTCCGAACTCAAAAGTCGGGCTCCGTCATGTTCTTACGGCCGCCATTTGCAAACTTGTGGTGAAAACAGCATCGAATTCGGGTGAGAAATGCAGCCTGGGCTTGTGGATCTTCCTTCCGGCTTCTTGCTTTCCAATTAATTTGATATTCAAAAATTGAAAATTCAATAACATTCTTTATTTTCTCTTTTCTTTATTGTCGTTCTTCTATTGTCCTCTCTTCTTAATAGATTTTTTCTTTCTCTCCTTTCATTTTAGTGGCTTTATTGATTTTCTTGAGATGAAATGTTTAAAATAAAAAAATTGTAACATGTATTTTTATGACATGCCCCTTAACGAAGTAAGCAATCATGCCCCCCACCCCGCATATATTTTATCTGTGAATTTCCATACTTTATTCGGTAAACATGTTGTTTACTGTAGTTTTTCATGGTATGGAATCCAGAGTTGTTTTTCTCCTGATCTGCCTGCCACCTAAGCCTATATAGACCAGACTTCATTACTATTTAACCCCCATCTGGATGGACAATAAATGAATTCATGCTTTACCTAATTAGTGTTGGTGTGAAAATGAGTGCAACATACGAGACCGGAATTTGAACGCAGCTTACCGATTCTTCTTTCCATGCTGATAATTCTGACGCTATTCGCAATTTGACGTTTGTTGTCGCTACTGACTGACTTGACTACAATTATATCAAATTCCTAACTAATATACGTATGTTCATATTTAAACCTATTTTTTCTAGATGCTGCTTCCCCACGAAAACAAAAGCCTTACTAATGCCATCAGTGTGCTAGACGGCAATGGAAGCACGGAAAGCAGAACCAGCTAGATGTGCGACGCTAATCTATCGAGATTGAGCCGGCAATTATAATCTGCAACAAACGTTCTAATTTTAAATTTAAAATTATCCAAGCACATATACCCAACCACAGCGCCCGTCAGTTCCCTCTGTCGTATTAGTAGCAGATCGTCCCGGAAATCTTGCTCAGCAAACAATAACGATTTGTATTTCTTGTAGCCAGCTATCGTAACCTTAGGGTTACCTAAGTTTACACGGATCCGGACAAGCCTAATATCCGAATAAACTATATAGTGGAAACTTGGGCACCCTAAGAGCTTTACATCGACTCTCCTAACTAAGGTTCAGTTGAGTTCGTTAGAAAGAACCTCTGTAGACGAGCGGGTCAATTAGTCCAATTCCATACTACCTCCCGAGGTATTTTATTCCTGCACTTATCGACAAGATTAAACTTGTCGATAAAATCACGAGATGGTTCACGTCTCGGTTATTAGTAACCGAATTTGAGGTCGGGTGACGGCATTCTAATCACGCCCTAAATCTACCCGACGAAATACCCGTCAAAAACGGCTCTATCCGCCGAAACAAAACATGCCGCTCAGAAAGAGCCTTAGTTTTTATGGTAACAATAAACAAGCATACATTTTATAGCAAAATAACCAACAGTACATTTTATCTGTAGTTGAAGGCATACATTTCAGTATTAGATAAAACATAGAGGTTGATATGACATAAATTAAATCAACCAAACAACCAACATGAAATAACTCTTTCATGATATTAATATAATATTCCACAATTTCTTAAAGAGATCAAACTGTATTCTAAAATATAACTTCAAGAAAACTACAACATAAAACAAGCATATCAACGCTTTGAGAAATTATCCCGACACCAATATCTATACGCACAAAAGATGAGTATCATATACCATGTATTTAGTTGTGAATGCATAACATATACTTATTATTTCAAAACTCCGAATTTTGACATTAAAAACCCCATAATGTGTTGATATGCCGTTAAACAAACAATATCAAATCAATCAAACTACATGTTAATTTTTTATGTGCCTTCCATGACGTAAAAGATCATTACTTACAACGTATTAAAATCCTTTTAAGGTTTTTTTTTTCTTTTTATTATATTACTTATTATAAAACCCAGGTTTTGTGTTTGTGTGTGTGTGTGTGTGTGTGTGTGTGTGTGTGTGTGTGTGTGTGTGTGTGCCTGTGTCTTCGCTTTTATATGGGGTCGGATTTCCTAAATTTTTCAACCTATTTCAACATAACTTTACAGGACTACGTAAAATTTGACGGCGGTGGTTCTGACAGCGCCAAAATTGGAAAAACACAATTGTTTTTGCACGAAATCAATTTGAAATCATGGGTAAGGGCCATTTATCCAGATTTTTTGCAGTCTTTGGACGATGTTTTGGTACCGATCCCCCAAAACAAAGCAAAGTCCAGTTTCTGATAGCACTAACGCTTGGCTATCTAACAAGTACCAAATTGTTTGCAAGACTGTCAAAGCCGCTTGACCAGTGAACCATAAACGAGCATGCCAAGAGGACAGGATTTAGGCATTCACTGGCACAGTATGTACAGTTTTGGTTTGATTCAAATGAAATTTACGACACACTTGCGGCTTCCTATAGCCTTTATGTCTGTCAAATTTCAAAATTTTTCGGCAAAAATAACCGTAGCTGCGTACAACCGAGTCCACGTGTCGATACCGAGAATGCTGCAAGCCCATTGGTCACATTCACAGAGCTTGACCTTGGGGCTTATCTAATCATCGCGCAGGGTTTCTCACACGTTATAGCGCCCGTGTGATCGTTCGTCAGCATATGTGTAAGTGCAGCTCAAGGTCAACCACCTCTATTGCGTGATTCGTGCGTGCTTTCACACTTTTGAGTTTATTGTTGCCCGCGTGCACGCACGTGGTTTACTTTATTCGCCTACTTCGGACACCGCAAGTTGTTGATTACGTGTTCTCGCTGCTTTTTTGTTTTATAGTTCTAACCAAACCCAACACACGTTAGCCAATTTTACTAAAATCCATTTCGTTTTGGATTTACCCTTGGTTTACCTTTTTAAATTTCCACATTTTCAGTTTCGAGATCCCCTTTAGTAACATCTGAACTCATTTTACTGGGGGTTCCCCTTTTTGTGTCTACGTTAGCAGTGCACGTTTTTTCGTTTTGGATTTGTCAAAATCTCTTTTTAAGCTTTACCCTCTTTGACGTTTTTACTGTTTGGATGCTACCTAAAAGGAGGAAACTTTTGGGTCAGCGCACGACAGTGAAACCCCTGAACAGACTTCTTTGTGTATTTTACGGATGGCTTCGAGCTCAACTGCTCGCTTATCTAGGGAAAGCGCCGCTGCGCGGAGTGAAAGGTTTGTGTCAGCGGCTTCAACCATGTCCGCACGCCGCGCCAGGCGTGGCTAGGTTGAGGGCTTCACAGTCCCCAGTTTGCGGGATGCCACCGCCAAAGCTTGCTCCAGCGGTTTAGAAAGCCTCGAACAAACAACTTCACGTCGTCTTATGAATACTAGGGCTATAGCCGCCTCTAGAGCTTCGGAACAACTCCAAGAAACCGCTCGTCGTTGCTTTAGCCCTGCACAGACCACTGTTCGTCTCGTTAGAAATGTCCACTCCACTGCATCTCCTAGAGCCCTAGAAAGCCCTGCACACACCTTTGTTCGTCGCGTTAGAAATGCCTGCTCTACTGCATCTGCTAGAGCCCTAGAAAGCCCTGCACAAACCAGTGTTCGTCGTGTTAGAAATGCCCGCAATACTGCGTCTGCCAGGGCTGCAGAAACCTCTGAAGTACGCCGTCAACGGCTCGAAAACATTATCAACTTCTAGCTTCTTTGAATGGCGTCACTTCGCTGTCTGCGTCATTTTGGTCAAATGCCGCATACAATTATGACTGCACTGTCAACTATTCCGCTAGAAGAGACATACAAATAGGGGCCATGGATAAAGTTTGCACTTTTTGCAACGCAAAAAAGTCGGCCGGTGAGCAACCTGGGCTTTGTTGCTCTGGGGGCAAAATCAAACTCCCTTCTTTAGACGAACCTCCCCAGCCGCTCCGTGACCTCCTTCTGGGTACAACTTCGGAGTCAACGCATTTACTTGAAGCAATACGGAAGTACAACTGTTGCTTTCAGATGATGTCTTTTGGTGCGAAGGCTATTAGTGAGGGGAGATGGATGCCTACTTTTAAAGTGCAAGGCCAGGTTTACCACTTAATGGGATCACTTTTGGCTGATCAGGGAGAGCCACCCACTTTCCTACAAATTTACTTTCTCGCTGACTATAACGAACAGGTTGATGCGCGTCTCGGCATTCTGCCTAGTGATATTTCCGTCAGTCCCCGTAGAGACATTCTGTTCCATCTAAAAGACATGCTTCACGAAACTTACAGTTACATCCGAAGCTTAAAGTCTGCGTTGCAAAACAATTCTTCGCCCTCTTTCAGCGTTGTTATCGATGCAGACAGACGGCCTGTAATGAAGTCGCCGAAGTCATAACAGCCGTGACATTGTCATAAGATACCGGGGCGGTGGTCTGCGCCGCATCAGTGAAACCCACTGTTCATACGACTGTCTCCAGTACCCACTTCTTTTTCCATACGGAAGCGATGAGTAACACTTCAAAATCCCAATAGACAAGGCAAGCAGCGATTCGATGTTGACCTCAAAGACGGTCTCCTGCAGGGCTTACTACGCCTAAATGTTTATGGTTGGGGAGGGTGAAATTAACCATTTGCACACGTTCCGTCAACTATTTCTTCAATTCGCTCTTCACATGGCTGCAAATATGGAGTTGGAGAGGTTAGGATTCATCAAGTTAAACCAACCCAAACTTATAACCGACTCCTACATTCACCTTCGTGTTGGTCTGCGTTCTGCAATCCGTGCATTTTGCCTTCCTCTTACACTGGTGGCCCTCGATACATGCATGAAAGGACACAAGACGCAATGACCTATGTTCGTCATTACGGGAGGCGTAATTTGTTCGTCTTGTTCACGTGCATTCCAAAATGGGTTGAAATCATTGCGAACTTTTTTCAAGTTAGCAGTACTCACACCGGCCTGACCTAATTGCCCGCGTTTTCCGGTTACAGCTGTGTAAGTTTATAGATTTAATCCTTAAAGGGCAAGTCTTCGGGCACGTTAAGTGTCACATGTATACAGTGGAATGGCAGAAACGCGGTTTGCCTCATGACCACATTCTGCTGTGGCTCAACGATAAGGTTGACGCAAACAAAATAGACGATTTTATTTCTGCTGAAATTCCGGATCCTGCGCTGGATCCTTTACTCCACGAAATCATTAAAAACAATATTATACACGGCCCTTGTGGCGCGAATTACGAAAAAGGGCCATGTTGGTCAAGCGGCCCCACTTGCGCAAAGGGTTACCCCCGTAAGTTTATCTCAGAAACGCAAACTACAACAGATGGTTACCCACTGTACAGACGTAGAAGTCCCACTGAGGGCGGCAGAACTGTGACAGTTAAGGGGCACACTCTGGACAATCGTTTGGTGGTGCCTTATTGTCCGTTGCTGTCCAAGACTTTTGGAGCCCATATAAACGTTGAATACTGCCACTCGGTTAAGTCAATAAAGTACATCTGCAAGTATGTTAATAAAAGCAGCGATGCTGCCTTTTTCGATATTCGGCTGAATACGTGGCTGGACGTTACCTCAGCACATACCAAAGGGCTCCAGCCATTGTGCAGCTTGCTGTTCACTTAGAAAATGGACAGAGGATGTACTTCGCCGGACAAAACGCCCAGCAGGTTGCGGAAAAAACTTAAGAGACAACTCTAGCGGCTTTCTTTAAACTATGCTCAACAGATGCTTTTACAAAAACATTGATATACCTCCAAGTCCCGTCCTACTACGTGTGGTCAAACAAGCGGTGGTTTCGGCGAAAGACTGGCGACCATGTTGATGGTTATCCCGATGTAAGGTCTAACTCTTGCCTTGGACGCGTTTATGCTGTGTCCCACAGCCAGCAGAAGTGCTTTTACCTCCGCCTTTTACTTCATGAAATTGCAGGGCCAACGAGTTTCACAGATATTCGCACTGTTAACAGCATAGAGTGCTAGTCTTATAGAGAGGCATGCTTCCGTTTGGGTTTGCTTGAAGACGACTCCCAATGAGATGCAGACATGGCGGAGGCTGAACTTCTCAGAACGCCATCACGGCTTCGAACGCTATTCGCCATTTTGCTTTTGCGATACGAAATAAGCGATCCTCTGTCGCTCTGGCTCAAGTAAAGAGAATCCATGTCAGAGGATGTGCTGTTCTCCGTTCAGTGTAACAGCCCAGGAGTTTCATTGACTTCATATTCAACAGAGCGCCGGTGGCCCTGGAAGAACTGGGAGGTGCCTCTTTACCAACTTACTGTTTACCACCACCGCTCAGAGACGCTTTTGACACTGTACCAACTGAGTTATTGCGGGAAACATTCTACTTCATCGAGGGTCTGAACGGATAGATTAGCGAAAACGAGCCCAAACTTCTACCTGATCAGAGGGTTGCTTTCATTACCATAACAGACAGGAGAAACGGCTCCAGTGAAGGTATATACATTTTAGATGCGCCCGGAGGAACTGGCAAAACTTTTGTTACTACATTAGTCCTTACAGAGGTACCGCGTCGTGGGAAGGTCTCTATTGCGGTTGCATCTTCCGGGATTGTTGCTACCGGGAGGTAGAACCGCTCATTCGGCTTTTAGGTTGCCGCTTGATCTATGCCGGTCACAATCTCCTCTCTGCAACATAACAAATAATTTGCCACAGTCTGAAGTTCTGCGGAGATACAAACTTATAGTTTAGAATAAATGCACGATGGCACACAAGGGCGCTCTTGAGGCACTTAACCAAAGTCTCCAAGACATCCGCGACTCCTCTGGCCACATGGGTGGAGTAACCCTTCTCCTCGCAGGCGACTTTAGGCAGACTCTACCTGTTATTCCTAAAGGTACACGTGCTGACGCTCTCCGCGCCTGCCTGAAGTCGTCTGCTACGTGGAGACTCTTAAACTGAGCACGAAGATGCGTTTTCTACTTGAATGGGGACGCCAGATCCGCTGACTTCGCACGGGATCTTCTTGCTCTTGGGGGGGATGCCATCTGACACACAAAGTTTTGTGCAGATGGATTAGCTTGCCACCACTGTTGAATCACCGGATGAATTGAGGAATGCAGTCTTCTACAACCTATCCAATAATTTTGCCGATGCCGAGTGGCTTTCTGGGAGTGCCATATTGGAACCGAAGAACTGTACAGTTGAATCCATCAACCTTAAACTGTTGGATTGCTTTCCCGGGCAATGTCATGTTTAGAAGTCCATCTGAATTAGCTGAGTATCCCATGGAAGTTTTGAACTCCCTCCAGCCGTCCGAAATCCCACCTCATATTCTTCGGCTCCGATTATGCTAATCAGGAATTTGCTCCCACCTAAACAGTGCAACGGGACTCGTCTCCTTATTAAATCCCTTTCTCCGAACTTGATTGAAGCGACCATTGCAACTGGCTGCGGCCAGGGGGAAGTCGTTCTGATTCCCAGGATGCATCTTCTGTCGTCAGACGCAAGCATACCAATCAACTTTCGTCGCTCACAATTTCCCGTGAATCGTTGCTTTGCTATGTCCATTAACAAATCACAAGGACAGACGCTTAGCATCGCAGGTCTGCATTTACGTGAGCAGTGCTTCTCTCACAGCCAACTTTACGTTGGGTGCTTATGAGTTGGGTCTAAGGACATGGTTTTCATTTAATCTCCCAACAACTGTGCTAGAAACATAACCTACACGGAAGTCCTGTAGACAACCCGCCCGGTAGCGTTTAAGCGCCATGCACACATATGCAGTCCGATTGCATGGCAATGTTTTTGTTTGTCATATTGGTTTTGACGTTAGGTCGTCGTAGTCTCCACTTGCCATTACTAAGACATCTTTGTAAAGGTTATCCAGCTCTTTGGCTGCCTTCTGACTTTCATACCTGCACCCGCCATCATCGCGTTTGTTTGTACACTATGATAACCTCACAGTATTCAGTTGCAACACAAGCTGCGAGACACATGAACACCGGCATTAGACATGATTGCTCCACTAAAGTCCCGGTTTCATTAACAGTTGATCGGAGCACCTGAAGTTCGTAACAGTGCATACAAGCACATTCACACTTGAGAAGATTCGGAGTTCGTTTAATTGTCACAAAAGTCGTGTGCGTCTACGAAATTCAGGCTTCTGCTTTCATATACACTTTACGGCTGCCATGGGTGAAATATGTCAGACATACGGTTTCATTGTTTTGTTTGTAGTCGTGTAAAAAAACTAAAAACACACGCCAACTACGGCGACCCCGGTCGGTTTTCATAAGCTCTCAGCCGTGATGTTGACTGCGACTGAAGAGAAAGGACTTCTCCATTGCAACTGAGGCGCTCGGTCATATGGCGACCCCGGTCCGGTTCCATGAGCTCTCAGCCGTGATGTTGACTGCGACAGAAGAGAAGGTACTTTTTCATTGCAATTGAGGCGCTCGGCCGTACGGCGACGCCGGTCCGGTTCCATGAGCTCTCAGCGTGATGTTGACTGCAAATTAAGAGATGGTACTTCTAATGGCAATTACGATGCTAGTCCTTACGGCTACCTCCGTTGCGGTTTTAAGGGCTCTCAGCCGCGATGTAGATAGTGACAGATCAGAATAAAGGAAGTCATATCACAGAAAATTTCTTACCATGACACCCCGTCACTCTTCGCTCTTCTCTCGGTTTTACGGTTCTGCTTTGTGGTCGTGGCAGCGCCGTCTTTTCGGCATAAGACGCTTCTTTTACTTAGACAAGCGGTTTGTTTTTGATTGCGCACGTCACATACTTTATATCTATGGCTTCCTCACGGCCCGTTTTCCCTTCAATCCCTAATTATATTGCAACTGAATCGTGGTTTCTTGACTACTTACCAAAAGTGCTTCCAGTAATGCTTAATGATCCAATTGGTTAAAGCAGTAACTGCTTCCACGTTTTACTCCCAGATGTCTTAGTAATGGCAAATGACTGATGCTACAACACCTTTCCGTTACTTCCTTCGATACCTTCCAATACTTGGGCCTGCATGATGTCTGCTTAAACTTTGTGTGCATTGCGTTTCAACGTTTTGTAGACTTACAAAGCACATCTTTCAAAGCAACAGCCATCCCCAACTCTTACTGTTACATCCCCGGGCAACGCCGGGCTCTACTGCTAGTATTTGATATAAAGCATTAAAAAGATAGATTCATGAAGAGGCCTAACTGTATTGAATGATCATACCACGTATTAAAATCCTTAGCAGCTCTTAGTAAGGTTTTTTTTCTTTTCATTATTTCTCGATATCCCTGTCCTGCTATCCATTTACACAAGTTCATTACGTAAGTTATCCACTGCTTTTTCCTTTCCCTTTTGTTTTCACTATATACTGTGAGTGTCAAATTCTCCAGGCAATACTTTCATCATTAATATAAATATCAGTTGGATCTTGATTCTAAGTATAAGTGTCCATTTTGGCTCTGTTTTCTTTCAAACTTCGTCGTTCTCAGATGTTCAGACATATGATTCTCAGCAGTCTTTTGTAAAACAATATTTCTGGGGCATTAAATCCTTTCTTCATCAAAATTCACTGCCATGGATGACGACTGATATTGCATAAGTTTACTACTCTTTCTAACGAAACTTTTCTGTTTCTTTATATATTATCTCGCTTGGGAATACCAGAGGCTCTAAGCTTGGGTGTGTAGGTGGTGCAATGACTTGGAAAAGAAATCGGAGAACATAGTTCCAATTCCAGTTAAGAAAGATATGAATCCACCTCTTCTTCCCCATCTATAGGTTAATTTGTAAGACTTGTATCACTAAATGATTGTCTCTTCAAAAATAAATCTAACAATCTAAAATTTCCTGGCTTTAAATAACCTGCAAAGTGCATAAAATGAATCAATCAATTAATATTATATCTAGATTTTACAAGGAAGTTTTCGCTATTTTAATGCCCCTTCAAATTTTGGTGTCATATATTTTGTCTTCTCTTATAATATTTACCAGATATTTCAATTTTCATACTTATTTCATTTCGACATTTCCAATTCATAATTCACATCTTGCGCAATTCCTCTTGCTAAAAACCCATACGTACTGTCGTCTTACAATCAGTGTTTAATCCTTTCTTTTCCCTTTTCATTATTACTTTGTTCTTGCAATTTCCTTTTTCTGCTATCAACGCTGCCATCTGGTTAATTTAATATGCGATATTTAGCATAAGTTAACGTATATTTAAGAAATGTCAACGCTGAATTGATTCAGTATTTCACATTACAGGGCTTTTTTTATCAGACACAACAATATGATTTTCGTTTCTCTAGGTCTTCTTCACAAGTTGTAAAATTATGATGTAACCGGACAAAACTTTGAGCTGATTCATTTTTTTTCAAATCACTAAATGAAAGTTACCCTAAACGGCCACTATTAGAGATCCTCTCGTGCTAAAGCAGATGCCGCAGGGACTTTGTTCTTAATTTTAATAGATGAGCTTCCTGATGGTCTCATCTATGATCATGACACAGCCATTTACTCCTGTTTCGATAGTAAGTCTGATCAGATCAATAAGGTTACATTGGCGGCTATACTAAAAAATGACCAACAAACTGCTGTTAACTGGCGCAAAGGATGGCTTGCTAATTTTAATGAAACTAAAGCAAAACTGCTCTCTATTAA